TACATCATGTGCTAAGTGCTGCTTCTCGAACTTTCTACTCCTTTTCTACTTCTTTCTCTCACTTCCAGGGAGATGTGCTTGGAAATCATCTCCTGCCCTGTATCTTCCACCTGACTCTGTGAAATCTACCTGAACCTCCAGGTGGGACTTGGTGAACCCCAACCATCACCCCTTGGTTTAGCTTTGGAGGACTTATGCTAAACCTCTCTAGCGAGGGCCCCAGAAACCACACCACCATTTTATGCTCATTTCCCCGTTTGGTCCTTACCACTTTCCTGTGAAATACAAGACTTCCATTCCTCTGTGAGAACCAGAACTAGTGCCTCAGTGTTCCCAGGGACTTGCCCACGGTTGCATGTCCCTGCCCCGGCGGGCTGAGGTCTAGTGCTCCATGCTCCCTAGTTCATTCCTCTGAATATTGATAAGATCCTCCGGCGAGAGTGTGTCTCATCTCCCCTCAGCCCGACTCAGCCCTGTCTGCGACACACCTGTCACCTCACGGCTCGGATGGGATTTTCCACCGCAGTTCCAGCTGGCTGCTAAGCAGGTGGCTGTGTGTGCTGTGCAGCCAGAGGCCGGCTGGTCTCATCCTAACCATGTCACCTCCCCACACCACCACCCGGGAGGCCCAACGGAGGGGCTGTGGCACTCTCGATGAGCAGCATAAATTCATGGAAATGTTTTCACTGGGGCGTTTTCCCTCTGCTGTGCTCCATTTCCTTGAAAAACACAGACTTGGAGGTCAACAGTCTCTGCCGCTGCCAGGAAGCAAATGCAGACTTCCTTGCCCACACACACACCGCTCCTCCCCACCCCCTCCCCTGCCTCCCCAGGCAGCTCTGCTGCCACTGGCCCTTTTTCAACACTGTGCAAGGGCCCCCAGGCAGACTGCAGAGGATCAGGCTCCAAGCCAGGGAGAAACGGCCTGAGGTTCCCTGGAGCTCCAGATGCCTCTGTCTCCCTTGTTCTCCGACTACCCCCGTGCATTGCACACTGGGCCCAACGCCCTGCGTGGGGAAGCTGAGATGGAAAGGCGTTGCTGTCAAGAGTCCAAGTGGAGGTGGGCATTTGTCGCAGGGGTTAGGTAGCCTCTTGGGATGCCGCGTCTCCTCTCGGAGTCCCTGGTTTGAGTTCTGGCTCCTCTGCTTCGAAATCAGTTCAAGCACTTGGGTCTTGGCCACCACCCACTGTTGGTGGAGTTCCTGATTCCTGGCTTTGGCCTGGCTCAGCCCTGGTTCTTGCAGGGATTTGCTGGAAGTGCAGCAGCAGATGGAAGATCTGTCTGCCTCTCTTGCAAATGTTCATAATCATAATAGTGAAAAAGATGAAATAAATAAATAAAACAGAGCCTCCATCTGAACAGCGCTAGCTTGTTACATCCCAGGGCCTGGACTTCTTTGTAAACAACACACTGTCAGCTCCATTTTCAGCTGCTTGAAATGAGGCTCTGGGCTAGGAAGGGTTTGCATCTACGTCCTTGGTTGCAGTGGGTAAAGGTATGCCTACTTCTGCTTCTCACTGATTATTCCTTTTTTTTTTTTAAGATTTATTTATTCTTATTGGAAAGTCAGATATACAGAGAAGGAGACAGAGAGGAAGATCTTCTGTCCGATGATTCACTCCCTAAGTGACCGCAACGGCAGGTGCTTTGCCTATCCGAAGCCAGGAGCCAGGTCTTCCACATGGGTGCAGGATCCCAAGGCTTTGGGCCGTCCTCGAGTGCTTTCCCAGGCCACAAGCATGGAGCTGGAAGGGAGGTGGAGCTGCCGGGACTAGAACTGGTGGCTATATGGGATTCCAGCGCATTCAAGGCAAGGACTTTAGCTGCTAGACCACCGTGCCAGGCCCTCTCACTGATTATTCTTAACATGTTTCCCCTGCACTGAGACTCTGGAGGGAGAGCATCTGCCTGGTGACTTGGGATACAGGCTGGCTGGAGATGGTGGCAGAAGGATCTGCGGCACGGAGGGACTTGTTGGCTCAGCACCTTGTCCCTTGGGGTTACAAGTCACTCCCGTGCTTGGACTCATCCATGCTGTTCCTGTAGCTTGACAGGGACAGAATAAGTTCCCATCCCACCCATGTCGAGGCTGACTTTGTGACTTGCTTTGACCGATGGCAACCACCCAGATATGACAGTCTAGACCACGAGAACTATGTGTTTGCTTCCAGTGATTCCATGCACGCTGCCATCTGCATGAGCAAAGGTGACCAACCCCTTTCTCCTGCTCTCACAGTGAACATACCGTGGGAAGAACCTCATGCCACTGACCTGCAGTTCCCCAGTGAGACTAAATGATGGCTGTTTAAATTCTCTGGGCTTGGGCCCGGCGCGGTGGCGCAAGTGGTTAAAGGTCCTCGCCTTGCACGCCCGGGATCCCATATGGGCGCCGGTTCTAATCCCGGCAGCCCCGCTTCCCTTCCAGCTCCCTGCCTGTGGCCTGGGAAAGCAGTCGAGGACAGCCCAAAGCTTTGGGAACCTGCACCCGCGTGGGAGACCCAGAAGAGGCTCCTGGCTTCGGATCGGCATAGTATCGGCCCGTTGCGCTCACTTGGGGAGTGAATCATCGGACGGAAGATCTTCCTCTCTGTCTCTCCTCTCTGTGTATCCGCCTTTCCAATAAAAAAATAATAAAAATAAATCTTAAAAAAAAATTCTCTGGGCTTTAGAGTGCTTTGTTACACAGTATACTGTAGCAATAGCTGACTGCTACAAATACTTCCCAGAGGTTCTATAGATAGTAGGTGACTAATAATGGCACGGTCTCTGGCACTTTGCTTTTTTACCCCCAGGCTGAAGGTATTGTTCCTGCTAGTATTGTTGTCACTGGTGAATGACAGAACCAGCCAGGGGAAGCTGCCAGTCCATATGGGCAGGAAGTCAAACCGGATGTGAGGCCTTGAGCCTGGGCATTGCTCAGCCACGAGTGGACAGAGGTCAGCTCCGGAAAGCACCGATGTGTTTCACATCGCAGGTGGTGGCACAGGCCACAGAGGGAGTGGCCTGGTGGCACAGAGGATGGGGCGGAGGTTTCAGCTGTGTCTGTGCTGTGTTCTCACCTGGGCTTCTGATGCCCTGGGAGGGGTGGGGCTTCCAGGCTGGGCATGGGCTGCCCACCTGCTGTTTCCCTGGGCCCTTAGGCCTGTCTCAGAAAGGCTCTGCTGGAGGCAGCTTCTGACACGCCTTAGGTCACAGCTGTGCAACGCACACGTTACGCCATCACAGGCAATGGCGCTGGACTTGGGGGCAGCAGGCAGTGGGCTGGCCGTGATTTCCTTTTTCAGCATTCACATGCTAAATGCTGTCCCTTGAACCTGTGGCCTGTCTTGGTCTCTCTCCATAACTGTCCTTTTGTGTCTGTATGTGACTGCACGTTCCAGGCATGCTCTGTATGCTCTGTCCATCTGTCTGACCATCTTTCTGTCCGGGTTGCTGCCTCTGTCCCCTCCCTGTCTCTCGGCTAGTATTCCCTCCTTCGCTGCGTGCTCTGGTTTCACACTCGCCACCCTTCCCTTGCTGCCTCGTTCTGACCAACAGTCAAGGACTTCCTCACAGGCAAGGCGACCCTTCTGTTATTCTCCCACACTCTTCCCCTCAGAACAGAAGAGCAGCCATTAGTAACTCATTCTCCAACGCCCCTCCCTTGCCACGGGGTCCAGAGGGAGACTTCAGGGAACTGTGTGGGTGTCTGCGGAAGGAAGAAGGGAGCAGGGTGCTTAGCCTGTATACTCCCCATCGTGTCTCTTCTTCGTGCTGGAGCAAACGGAAGCAGGCTTTTCTTCCGCATGCTCCTTCCCTCCAGGCTGGGCACCCCCAAGGCCCAGGGCAGGGGAGCTGTGCGTGAGCAGACTCCTCACCCTGGACCCGACTCCTGCATGCTGGCGGAAGCCAGCCAGATCCCCCAGCATGTGACTGTTCGTCTCCCTTTCGTCATCCTGGGGCTTCCAATAAAGTCTTCCTTTCATTGAATACATGAATTGTTTTTCATTGTGTTTGAAAGAGAGAAAGGGAGAGAGAGTTAACTCCTCCCATTTTCTGCGACAGCCAGGGCAAGCGAGGCCCAAGGCAGGAGCCAGGAACCTACGTGAGTGTGGCAGGAACTCAGCTTCCAGAAGCATCGCCATTGATGGCCTGCGGAGCTGCTGGCTAGCAGGGAGCTGCGATTGGATCCCAGGCCCTTGGGTAGGAGAAACCAACGTGACAAGAGGCATTTTCTCCACCGCCCCAGACACCTGGCCCTCCAACGTATGAAGGCTAGCAAACAGTACCCCACCTGCCACACTGCAGCCACCACCTGGGGCCGTGCTCAGGAGGGTGGGGACCGCAATCAGAGCTCTCGGCCTCTGCCACTGGCTGCAAGGGCTCAGTGTGAGAATTTATGGAACGATCTGAGGCTGCTAGTCTATTTGGGTTGTGGGGTGGGGATGGAGGCGCGAGTCCCTCCACCCCAGTGGCTTAGGGAAGCCCCTCTCCCAGCCTGTGCACCGAGCTGCTCCACACGCACCATGTCCTATATGCGGTGTGCAACCTACTCTCCCGCACACGGCATCCTGTTCTGGGAAGAAGCTGTCGTGGCTATCCGTGCAGTCAGAGTGGATGGAAAATTTGTCTCTCTTCTCTGTGTAATTTGTCAAGTATACAGATACATCTTAAAAAGAGAGAGACCTGTGCTCTGTTGTGAAAATCTTAATCATTTGCATTTTGCTTTGGGTCCTAAATTACTAGGCTAATTCCACCTCTTCAAAGGAACCCATAGAGCATACCCATTCTACAGATGCCCACACAGAGTCCTGGAGAGATGCAAAGACTTGCACCGTAGTTCCAGCCTTTAAAAATGACTAGCAAGGCTCAGACAAGAAGCTTGCACGTTTTATCAAAACACAGCAAATAGTGTTCAGCCTGCCCACTCTGCTGCTTTCTTGTTCTGGAAGCCACGTGAGAGAAGAGATAAAGGGAAAGGAAGGAAGAGGAAAGGACGCCTCCTTCCTCCATCTGGCTGTTGTGGGGAACACAAGTCCCCAGGCCCAGGCCAGACTGCCTACAACCCTCTGATGGATGAGTGCCCGAGTGCCCTGAGTGCCCTGAGTGCCCCGTGGCCTAGAACTGGGAGAAGCATTGCTAGGGAACTCCTGGCTGCTTCAAGTTGGAGCTGATTTATCCAAAGGGAAATAGGCCACACTTGCCAAGACATCAGGATGACCACGGAAGGCTCCTGGGTAGCTCGTAGATGCTGCTATCCACCTGTTCATCTACCACAGCCAGCGCTCTCTGCTCTTCCATGGTCAGGAGCCTGCAGAAGGCTGAGGGGGCCCAGGGTAGGGGCTGGTCAGACAGCTTGAAAAACTCAACGCCGCTCTACTGCAGAGCTGCCCTGCTGAACACACCGGAAGGGAGTGGTGGGCGGGAGGAAATTGCTGGCTTTTTTTTTTTCTAGCTTGAGATCCAGGGAGTTGGGAGAGATGCACAGACTTCACCCCCAGCAGCTCTAGGCAAGAAGGGGGTGTCGGGGTTCAGGGGAGTGTACCCCTCAGGGCTGGGGCCCTGGTGCTGGAAAGAGAAAATGTTTTTGTCTTCTTGGGCCTCAGGGTTGCCCCACTGTAAAATGAAGAGTAGGAGGCTGCACTGGGCTGATGCCTCCTGGCCTAAACCTTATGGCTCATAAAGCTAGAGAAAAAGGACAGGAAGAGGGGGTTGTGGGGGAGTCCCCAAAGACAGTAGTATTTTACAACTTCTGAGACCGCTGAACCCCATTGTCTGTTTTTGTCTTCATCATCATCGCCACCAAGAATGTCCTAGAAGACACGCAGACAAGGACATGTCAGGGCCAGCACTGGGGTGCAGTGGGTTATGCAGCACGCCATGTGAGCACCTGTTCAGGTCTCAACCTGTCTCCTTCCTATTCCAGCTGCCTGCTGCTGTGCCTGGAGAGGCAGCAGAAGATGGCCCAAGGGCTTGGGTCCCTGCCACCCATGGGAGAGGCCCAGAGGGAATTCTGGCACCTGCCTTCAGTCTGGCCCAGCCTTGGCTCCTGTGGGTATTTGGGGAATGAATCAGCAGATAGAAGATCTCTCTCTGTCTTTCACTCTTTATCACTCTGTCTTTCAAAACAAATCTTTTCTGACACAAGCAAGCATCAAGTGCTATGAATAATTCTAATTGAGATGATTATAAGACCTATGGAGCCAACAGCCCAACTGCAGAGTGGAGGACTGCACGAGGCAGGCTTCCTGAGGGTCCCCCTTCCTCCCCCACTGCCTGCCGTCTCCTTCAGGCACTGCCGACTTCGAGTTCACGAAGACTGTTTACTTAGTTTAAGAAACAGTCCTGTCATTATATATGCATCCCTAAATAATAAAGCTGAGTCTCGCCTGTCTGTGAACTGAGTGTAAACAGATACAGACATTATGTATTATTCATGTCCGGTTTCTTTTACTGAAAAGCATGCTGGTGACATTTTCCAGATGGACACATGGAACCCCAGAGACGTCAAGTGCCACATCAAAGGTCCCAGCACTGACCCCGAGCTCACACTGCCACCCGGGGGGCTCACTGGCGGCTGCCACCTTTCTTTCCCAAGCTTACCTGGCAATTTGGTAACCTGAGGTCAGGAGTGAATGTCCCCCTCATTGAACTGATGTCACAGGCCCCAGATGAGGGGCTCTATGTGCCTGCAATCTCCCTCTGAGATCATATACATGGAGGACAGGCAGTCCCTCTCTACCAAAGTTGGGGCCCTCTAAGAAAGGGGAGCTGCTTGGACCCTATGGTGGCCTAACAATCTAAGCCTCTGCCTGTAGCATCAGCATCCAATATGGGCACTGGTTCGAGTCCCAGCTGCTCCACTTCCCATCCAGCTCCCTGCTGATGGCCTGGAAAAGCAGTGGAGGATGACTCAGGTCCTTGGGCCCCTGAACCTGTGTGGGAAGACCCAGAAGTAGCTCCTGGCTCTCAGCTTCAGCTCAGCTCAGCTCAGCTCTGGCCAGAGTGGCCACGTGAGGAGTGGACTAGGGATTAGATGACTTCTCTTAGTCTCTCCCTCTCTCACTGTAATTTGGATTTTCAAGTAAAAAAATAAAAATAAATCTTAAAAAAATAAAAAAGGAAACTGGGGGAGGGGCGCTGATCATGTGACATTTCAGTCATGTGTCCCTAAACAGAGCTAGCTTACTTTGCATTTTCTGTGCTCCACTCCTCAATACAGGTGTGGAACCCTTCAGAATGGGGTGTATTCTCGGTCCTGGTGCCATGGCCTAGCAGCTAAAGTCCTTGCCTTGAACGCGCCGGGATGCCATATGGGCACTGGTTCTAATCCTGGCAGCCTCACTTCCCATCCAGCTCCCTGCTTGTGACCTGGGAAAGCAGTTGAGGATGGCCCAAAGCTTTTGGAGCCTGCACTCATGTGGAAGACCCAGAAAGAAGTTCCTGGCTCCTGGCTTCGGGTTGGCACAGCACCGGCCGTTGCGCTCACTTGGGGAGTGAATCATCAGACAGAAGATCTTCCCCTCTGTCTCTCCCCAGACGGCATGCCTCCTGCACGTGTAGGTTGCACCTTATCCATACATGCATATGGCAGAGTGCATCGCTCTCAGGTTATCTGCACAAGCATCCAGCACAGCCCGTTGCTCTTAGGGCTATGCTGAGCAAGACAACATGAGAAAACATCAAGCATGTGAGAAAATGACACCATCGTGACACACGGGAAATATGAGATGTTTGAGTCCGCTGTTGGCAGAACCTTGCCTTCTGCTTCATAGTGAACTTTTGTTTCTTACAGGAATAGAGGAACATTGTAAACTAACAATACGAGTATAGTAAACACACGGGCCAGTTACCATGATCACATATCATGCAGTGTACCCAGCTGTCTGTGCTTTACGTAAAAGGCAGAGTCATCCTCCACTGCTTTCCCAGGTGCATTATCAGGGTGCTGGATTGCAACTGCAGCAGCCAGGACTTGAACCAGCACCCATACGGGATGTTGGCGTTGCAGACAGCAGCCCCGGGGTATTTTATAGCAGCCGGATGCCCAGTGATACCGACTTTCCCAGTTCCTGCCTTTAGTTGTTCTTCCAAGCCACCTTGCCTTTGCTTGCCCTGCAACTTTATGCCAAGAATCTGTCTAATCTTGAAAAATACTCCAGGGCAGGCTTTGTGGCTGAGTGCTTAGAACATTAAGAAACAAAATGCTTTGAAAATCAGACTCCTACAGCAGCTTAAACTGGCTCTCCTTGTGACTTCCTCAGTGGTACTCCTGGTAAGCTGGTTACAACCTCATCTGCACACAGGAGCGCCTTCCCCCCTGAGATTTTGGCGCTGGCTGGTGGTTTGTGGGGAGCTTAGAGGGTCCCTGGAGCTGCCCTGTGCACTGAGCCTAGGGGCCAAGCAGGCCCTGCCTTGCTGTTGATTTGGCCTGCTGGGAGCACACCCGAACTCTCCGCCTACTCACCCAGCACCCAGTACCTGGTACCACAGCAGGCACAGAGCAGAGCAGGGAGAAAGCCCTGCCTAGTGGCAGCATCATGCACCCAACATTATCCTGCTTCCCCCACTGCTGGAGCCACATGTTCCCTTCTCCTGCTCTGCCCCTCTCTGAGGGATGGGGGCATGGGTGGCAGCCTGGCAGGTCAGCATGGCAACCCTTCATGCCTTTTTAAGATGCCCAGGTGCCCTTCACCACCTGTTCCTCCTTTCTTTGTGCCTGGACCCTCCCCCATCACCCCTACTTGTGTCTCTGAAGGTTGCAGAGGGGCAGCCTACTCCGAAGCGAGGAGAGAGGGCTGTAAGGAGAGCTCGTCACTGAAAAATACTACTTTACAGGTTTCTACAGCCTGAATGTGAGTGCCCGGGGTTCAAGGCTTCCTATTCCAGGCGCAGACTACAGCAACATGCACTCTGGGAGGCAGGAGGTGGTGGCTGTCACCCACATGGAGGACCCAGACCGAGATCTGACTCCTGGTTTCAACCTGGCCAAGAGAGGACCGTTGCAGGCATTCAGGGGTATGAATCAGTAGATGCTCTCTCTCTTCCCTTCCTTTTCAAACAAGATGGAGATAAGTACTTTTTGTTTTTAAAGGGGAGGGGTATACATGGACAGGTGCTTTACGCATGCCTTGTGCACATGTCATGGAGCTGGTGGAGAATTCTGCACACTTGAGGAACTCCGAGAGGCTTGCTAAGCACAGCTGGTGCATGGCTGAGGTTGGCTTGACAGCTCTAGTCTTGCCTTCAGGTGCTGCGGGCACTCCTGCCTCTGACCAGAGCACAGGTAGGGGCTGGGTCAGACCCAGTGGGGGCCAGCGCAGCGTTATGTGAGAGGCTGAGAGGTCGCCCCCAGAACCTCCCTGTTCTTAGGAAGGCACCGGGGGCGAGCACTGCGGCCAGGCCTTTGCCTTGCTGCTGAACAGGGTGAGGAAAGGACTCCACAGGGTGCCTTGGTGGCCTGCCTTCCAGCAACACCTGGGGCTGCTATTCCAGAATGGGGGTGAGGAGGTGACAGGGTGTGCTAGTCTCGTGGTCCCTCCCTTCCTCAGCCAGCTGCCCTGCCCATTCCAGGTTCCTGTGTCTTGTCTCCAGTGCCCAGCTCAGGGCTCTCTTCCCTGGGGCCCTGGTCCTGAGCTGGCCTTAGGATAAGGCAAACTCCAGTCTGGTCCTGGGTTTCTGCCATAAATGGGGATGTGGCGCGGGACCACCTCACAAGATGGGGTGCAGTCAGCAGTTTGGATTCTTCCAGAACCAAAAGTACTGCAGTCCCTGCCCCCTCCCCCACTCCCCTAGCGCTCCTTATCCCCTTCCCGGGCTGTTTTCATGCCCCCCCCTTTTTTCAAAGGAGACCCAAGTTTTGTGCACTTCCAGGTTGCGTTTCCTCTGTGTTGGATCTAGTCCTGTACTAAGTCCAACTGGGTGTGGAAATACGGGTGCTTCTGTTCCCTCCCAACTCTCCTAGGATGTGCATCCCTACAGAGCCGGCCTGGCCCAGGACGGGAGGGAAGCGGCTGCCCGGCTGCCCCAAGAGGTTGGGGTGCTGGAAAGGCAGCCGGCGGTAGCTGCGGGCTACAGAAGGCGCGGGGAGCAACCAGGACCTCAAGCTACTCTCCATCCAGTTCCGCAGCCCAACACCCGCCTCTGCAGAAAAACCTCCTGCGGGGCCAGGCGCAAGCTGCCTGCCAATAACCGCGGAGGTAGCGCATTACATCATCACCGAAGGCTCCTATTGGTCGAAAAGCCAGGTCCCGCATCCCAACCTTGACCGTGGGCCTCTGGGCGGACTCCGCAGACTCCTTCAAAACTGCGAAACTGCGGGGCAGTTTGGCAGGGGAGGCTGGTGGGGTGGCTGAGCCCCACCCCCCGCGCAGGCGGGAGCCAGAGGTGCCGGCTTTGCCACTCGGGGAGTGGCATGGGCTTCTGTGGCCTGGTCCTCGCCTCCCCAGACCCTGCAGGTTCCAGGCAGTCCACCCCCAACCTTGCAGGCTGTGAACCTGGAGGGGGCAGGGGAAGGACATAGTCTCTGTTTTGCTTCTCTGCATCCCCGCATGCGTAATGATAATGTTAACAGAACTAACTTTTATACATCACTTAGAACTTTCATTTTAAGTGAACAAGAGAAAACTCCCATCCCCTTGTGCTGGTTCAATTGCCACGATGTCCTCAGAGGTTAGGACTGGGGCAGGCTGAAGCTGGGAACCCAGAACTCGGGCCAGGTTACCCATATGGGTGCCAGGAGGCCACCGCGACGGCCTCTTAGGGCCAGTAAGGGCAGGAGGATGGAGCAGACCCAGGCTCTTGACCCCTAAACTTAATGCTGCCCACGTGGCTTTAACCATATGCTTAAACAACAGGCCCCCATGTGGCCTGCAGCCTCACTGTTCTAAAGACAGGCACAGAACTGGTGAAGGGTCAGGCAGGATTCACTCAGCGCCGGAACACCACGGGGACAACGACCAGGCCACACCCTCCCAGCATTCCTGGTTTCAACTCTGCAGCCTGGGCTGCTGGGCTGTCAGTCTGCAGCAGGCCTGACTGCTCAGGGGAGGAAGGCAGCCAGGGTGTGCCACCCCAGGAATGTGTGGAAGTGACCGTGATGGTGGCACCGGATGCTCATGTGTTTCTCTCTCCCTTTCTCTCTGCCCGCTCTGAGCTCTGTGAAACGTGGGCCTCCATCAGAGGCTTTGGGATTGCCCAACTCTAGGAGGGTGGGGATGACACTCTCACGTCCGGGAAGCCTGAGGGACCACGTGTGAGTTCTCTGGTCACGAGGCTATGTATTACGGTTTTGAGTTCTGGAGATTGCCATCTTGGTGGGATTGGAGAGTGTCAGAGGACTCACACCTCTAACCTGAGCTTCTGGGGAGTCATGTTTGGTAACCTCACCCATGCATACGT